CATGTGGTGAGAGGGACACAATGGTTTACCACAAACACAGTGTGGTGGCCCTGGCTGGTGCCCACCCTGGGCCGGTTTAAGATGCTCTTATGTATTTTCTGTTCCCATCTTCCTAACTCTGCTGTTCCTCCTCTTTCACCTCCCTTTCCCTGCTGGAGTCCTGCACATAACTAATCCAAACTGGTTACAGCTCGTGAGCTAGTTCTGATTGAGGCCACGGCAACCTGCAGGATGTTTTTTTTCACTTCCATGGGATTTCTCCCACCAGCTCCAGTGGGGTTTCTCCAATATTAACTTTCTCATGACCCCTGTGAGATAATGACTGTTTCAGAGGATCCCAAACACCAGGGAGCAAACCAAACGACAGGCTGATGCTCGAAGGACAGTCTAGCATCCTCTCATCGGGAGCAGGGTGGTTTGGGGCTTGTGGAGGGCACAGGGTGAGGATCTGTCCATGGGGACGGGTGACGACCAGCCCTGGGGTGCGGGGTGGGAGGGCAGCCCCAGCCCCACACCGCATCCCTGGCAGTAGGGACACGAGTGGGGCAGGGTTGTGTGGCCGTGGCCGTACGTGAGCTGCTGGCACCATCTAGTGGGGCTCGTCCGGGACTCGCGGCGCTGCAGCCGCCTCCGGTGCCTTGTCCCCTGGGAACGCATCACGGTCCCGGCATCGCCCCAGCTCTTTGCCCCGCTTCGTGGGTTCTGTAGAACCAAGTGCTTTGGAAAAGCCCTTTAGGAGCAAGCCCAACCTTTGTACCCTGGGCTTGGGCTGGTGGGGTTTGCGCCTTAACACCCCAGCAGCACCAGATGGTACCCTTGGGGGTACAGAGCTGCCTGCAAACCGGGGCTCCCCCAGGTTTAGCAAAGCTTGCACCCCAGCCACCCCTCAACCCCCCCAGACCAAAGCACACGGTTCATTCAACCAGAGCAATGCCTTCCCCAGGGGAGCTGTGCGGTGGAGCAGCCCTGGCCAGCACCGTTGGCACCTGCTCAGCTCAGAGCTAAGAGCCTCAGCCCTTACTGCATTGCCAGTTCCAGTTCAAGCGAGGAGCACTGGCTGGCGAAGGCAGCTTCCCCCCCGGGCTCAGCACAGCCAAACAGCACAAACCAGCTCCTTGTGCGATGCCTTTTCAAGGGCTTTTCTCTTTGGTAACATCCCGAGTGGCAGTGAGCCGGTCCATGATAATTATGGGCTGGCACAAAAGCCCTGGCCACACGTTCCAACTGCAAGTAGGTCAGGCAGCCATCTGGTCCTGCTGACCGGGCTCCGTGGCCACAGTTAAAGATTGTCATTTCAGAAGCTTTACAGCATGGCTAAAATCGGGAAGATCAACCGTAAACGGATGATTCAGCCGCTGCTCCAGCTCCAGAGGTCAGGAGAAGCCCAGCCTGACTTATTGGTTCCTGGTTTAAAAATAGCTAAAGCTTTACCTGCTTCTCCTAATAAAACACAAGCTTAATTCCCCAAATGGGTCTCGGCCTCCCAACCAAGGAGGTGTCAGTGGTGGGGCCCCCATGGAGCCCATCTCCCCCACACCACACGGGGCTGCCCCCTGCAAGTGGCAGTACTGAGCCACTCTCTAGAGCAGAATGCTTATTCCTGATGGAGACAGAATCATTGTACCTTTATATTGTTCGATTTCAATGAAAACAACCCCAACCCTCACAGCAGCTGCATCCACAAAGTAACTGCAGAGCAGTGCTTTGGTTAAAGGCTCACCCTTAAAGGGTCATCCTCATACCAAGCCCATGCTGCACCCAGGAACAGAGCAGCTCTCAGCAAGGAAGGCTTGTGGTGGAAGGGACCTTAAAGCTCCTCCAGCTCCAACCCCTGCCACGGGCAGGGACACCTTCCACTAGAGCAGCTTGCTCCAAGCCCCTGTGTCCAACCTGGCCTTGAGCACTGCCAGGGATGGGGCAGCCACAGCTTCTCTGGGCACCCTGTGCCAGCGCCTCAGCACCCTCACAGGGAAGAGCTTGTGCCTAAGAGCTCAGCTCAGTCTCCCCTCTGGCAGGTTAAAGCCATTCCCCTTGGCCTGTCCCTACATCCCTTGTCCCAAGCCCCTCTCCAGGTTTCCTGCAGCCCCTTCAGGCACTGGAGCTGCTCTCAGGTCTCCCCTTCAGGAGCCTTCTCTTCTCCAGGCTGCCCCAGCCCAGCTCTCTCAGCCTGGCTCCAGAGCAGAGCTGCTCCAGCCCTCGCAGCAGCTCCATGGCCTCCACTGGCCCCACTACAACAGCTCCAGGTCCCTCTTGTGCTGCTGCCCCAGAGCTGGATCAGGGCTGCAGGATTTTGTTACGTGACAAGGAAGTGACCAGCAGAGGCCGTTTTCCCCTCTAAAACCACATTCCATGTACCAGCACCTGCTCAGGTTTCCGCTCCTCAAGACAGAGAGCTTTGCTGAAGCTTCTCCTCAGTGGTGGAGAGTGTCCCACAAAGCAGATGTGGCAGACTCCAATTTAGCACATAAAATAACCTGGACACTCTGCATCAGACAGATGAAAAAGAAGCAGATCCTTTTTTTTTTTTCTCCAAACAGTTCACATTTATTGATAACGATAAAAAAATCTTTTAAAGACTATCGGTATTTTATTACCAAGAATGAGGTATTATGTATACAAAACATTTACAGGATTTGATATGCAGTTCATGAGTACAGACAGGAGAGTGCAGAAGGGACACTGATAACAAGAAAAGAGCCAACAGAAGAGTCATTGGCAGGGAGAAGGAAGAGCAGTAATACCACACAAAGAAAGACCAGGGTATGGGAAATTAATTAGACTGCAGCAATCAAGTCACATTGCCACAGCACTCTGCTGAGAGGAGGATGAACTACTGGTTTTGTGGACTTTTATCTCCCCAGCTGTTTGTGCTGTCATGTGCTTTGAGCTCTAAAAGATGTTAAGATGAACAGCAGGAAAACCCCAAAGTGCCACTTTTGAGCCAGCTCAAGTGCAAAACAAAATCTAGATCTTCAGACTTGAAAAGTGACTGCAACTCAAAAAGGTCTACAAAGCCAGACCCCTCTGGACAGATGTGGAGTGTTGAATGAAGCAGTTTCTTTACAGTTGTCAGCAAAATCGCCATCTGAGAGAGAGAGGGAGAGAGAGAAAGAAAGGGGACCATCTTCAACCCTTGCAGCCCAGTAAATGGAAAGTGGCATTTGCAAAGAGCCATGAGTGTCATTAAGCCAATCAACCTCACTGTGCCTCCTGCTGTGCTGGCTTCCCTGTGCCTGGGAATACTGGTTCCTGCTTGGCAAGAATCAAAGCACCTCTTCAGGTTCCTCCCAGGCAGAGAGCTGGTATGAGCAGCCTAAAAGCCACAACTCATGGTTCTCTGCTGTGCAGGCGCTGGGTGGGGAGGTGCTTGACACCAAAGCTTTTCTCACACAACATCACATTTATGGCAGCCTAAGTAACAGTTTAATCTCCATCTTCAATTTCTAAGCTCAGAATAGACAAAATATATGAGTTTGGTTCACTTTAAGGATACTGGCCTCTCAGCAGCTCTAAACCTGACACGTGTCAGCTGCAGCCAGAACTGGTCCACAGGAGACGTGCTCTCAGACACTCTGCAGTCATAAAGCAAGATCTATGCTGAGTTCAGAACCAGCTTTCCTCAGGCAAGGCATCCAGTATCTTAAGCAAGTTCTGCTCTGAAAGCAATACCTCCACAAGCTCCTCTACCACTTAGCCACCACTTATGCTGTCTCCCCAAGATTTTACAGAGCCTCTCTGGCTTCCTAGCAGGGCCTGCAGCCACCACAGTAGCTCCTTTTGCATGGATGGACAGTTTAGCTCTAAAAGGGTGAGGAAAGACCAAGCAGGGTCTAACTTAATGCAAATCCTGCTGCATTTCAGACTGAAATCTTCTCTGCCCCACTGCCATGTATGGTCTGTAGTAGTCTGCTTTAAGCTGAGCTCTTTGCTCAGCTCTTCAGGCCTTTGTGCCTTTCGCTGTGCGTGGAAGAGAGCACTCGAAGTAAAGGATACCTGAATAGACTAACAAACAGAGTTCAAGTAGGATTTTTTAGGCTTGGGTAGAATGGGTACAAAACCCAAAATGGCAATTCCCCTCTGGCAGTTAAAATGGTTGAGCAGGCACCGATTAAAGCATCTCTTGCTGCATCACTTAGAGTGAAGATCACTGTGCTCCCTGCCTATGGCAAAGCTTCTGCTGCTCAGAACACAAGCCCTCTGTTTCTAACATGCACAGGGAAGGGTGGGAGGCTAGAAGGATCGGAAAGTGCACAGGAAGGGTGCAAGCCATACCTCCTTTGGACTGATTTAAGAAGCAAGCTTAAGCTCTGCATAAATTCCAGATAAGAAGTGTCTCGGTAAAATCAGTTCACATGGAGTGTACTAAGGAAGTGGAGTGAAGCTCCAGCACTGAGCTGGGAACAAATCAGGATCAGCCCAGTGTGACACAGTGAGGGAGAGCCTGCTCTCTGCCTCTCTCTCCACAGTGCTTCAAGCCCAAATCCAAGGAAAGTATGAACTGCTTTAACCCATCAAGACCCAGAGCTCAAGATTCCCCAAAAATGTGCTCATACAAAAGGTATTAGTGTTTACAGCCTGGCCACAGCTCTGTGGGCATGCTTTGAAAAAGAACGGACTCACAAAGTCAAGTATCCAGCAACTGCTTTTCTTTGTCTCGGACATCACTTGGTGGCAATGGGAGAACAGTCTGCAGTACTGGAAGACCACAGGGGATTTCTTAAGATGGCAAGGAATGTCCTGACAGGAGACTCGCAGTTGATCTCTAATGCACTACGGAGCACTTTTGGTAGGGTTTTTTCTTTTTGCTTTTAAACATTTACACAGTTAAAAATGATTCCTAACTGATGCACTGGTTATTTTTCCTTTCAGTGAGAGCCCTTGTGTTCAGAGTTAGGATTTGTGCAAGCATACTTGCAAAAGTATTTATGGCTGCGTTAGGAAAAAGGGTTAAACTTAAAAGAGACTAGCTGTTGGAACTAACAAAGACCAAAACCACTAAGTTTAAAATTCAAACAGCTACTTTACTATCTATAAAAGGCTTTAGTGGGGTGGGGGTTTTTTGCACAATTGCCAGTTGAATATGGTGTATTGCAGTCAGCTGCCACAGGCGAGGGTCCAGCCATCTCATCCATTTGCTTTTCATCTGTTGTGGCACTACCTGGAAATCATGGAGCTGGAATGGGACTGGCTAGAAGAGGTGGTGGCAGCACTGAGCTGGGAGAATCCACTGTGGCTTGATTCAAGGCTGGTCATGGATCCCCTGCAATAAAAACCAACGTCGTTTCAAGCTTCTGAACATACAAAGATTTTTATTTCTGCTATGGTTCTACACTGGGTTTGTCTGCATACTGAATAACAAGCAAGTAACAGTTTTGGGGCAGATACTCAAAAGCTTCTCTCCCTTACACATAAGATAATGGGTACACCAAACACCTCCTTGCAAAAAAGAGATGCTGTTCAAAGAGACTTAGAATGAGTTCCAGTCAAATAGATCAACTGGCAGGGAACTGAACTGGCTCAATTCCATTTTGAGTTGCACCCATTTCTACATGGCAACCTGCCAAGCCCAACAACTTACACAATGCTTTCATAGCAAAGTGAACAGAGATGATTATAATGAGATAACTAATTAACCCCTTTTATACATTAGTTTCCCCTAGTGCCAGTAATGGCTGAATTTATCTACTGTTTCTTGAGTGCTTGTTTCTTGAGGCCTAAGAAAACAATCCTCACAATTTACATGTATTTATAGGAACTTGACAGTGCATGATCATCTAAGTATCAGAAAGGTTTGACATCACCTGACCTTCATGAACCTTGGCCATACATACCTGAAATCTTCAGATCCTATTACTTCCGTATAGTACATCACTTTACATTTGTGAGAGGAGACCTGTAGAGATGCTAATACATCATCCACACGAGGCAGGTTGGTTGTAGCACAGGCAGGCATACTATGAAATTTCCACTGGAGGATATAGAAGCCAGGCCACCTGGTCACATGTGATCCCTGGAAGCAGCCACAGCAAGAATGAAAAAAATGAATATTTTTGGCTTGAAATTTCTCTTCCAAACTTAGAAAAGCTGCCTGGATGCCCATCATTTTTTCCTCAGTGCCAGTATTTCAGCTCCACAGCCATCTGGCAGTGCTGGTCAACACTGCCCACACAGCACATGCTTATAAAAGTTATGACAATGCCAGAGGTTCCTCCTGCTTTTTTGCCAGAGTCAAGGGGTTAGGATTTAAATATACTGAAAAGGACAAAGTTCTTCTTTAAAACAATACCCATTTTTTTCCACTTACTTTCATTAATGGCTGTCCTTTGAGACTGTGAGAAGGGCAGTCAAGGCTCCTGCCTCATAGAAAGAGAAACTATAGTTCAAGAGGTCACTGCCCGTATTTGCAGTTAAAACACTTCCAGTTAGTTGACTTAAGGAACAGCTTTTTCAAAGGCTCTTCAACTCTTATTTCAAGTTAAAAGGAAAAGCAGTGGTAGAGTGTGATTGCAAACAGGCTGCATGTACTATCAAATTTGGTAATTAAAGGATAGGTTGCAAATGCCATGAAAAAAAACTATCAGGAACCTTGGCCGTAGGGAGCTTCCTATGGTACCTACCAGAGGGACAAACACACAGAAGCTAAGTCTTAATTTCCACACTTCTCCCATTACTGTGCTAAGAGACTATGATATTCTTCAAACACAGACTGTTTGCTTCAGAAAATAATGGTCAAAATTACAGCACACAGCATGTCTTGCTGCTTTCAGGATGAGCACTTCATCCTAGGTGACTTCCCTACTGTCCTTGCTGATCAATCTCAGTCACTATTGGACTGACGTAACCTCCCCTCACAGCAGATCCCATGTAAATACTATCCCCATTCCCTGCAGCATGCAGCTAGGAACAGAAGCTGAAATGTCAGCCAAAAGCAAGCAGACAGCCTGGAGCTGAATCACCACTCAGTCATCAATAATAATTGTGAATTAGAATGTGTCACTTTGGAGCTGGCCTCCACCTGCTCCCACCCGAGGATTCAGTGGTCTCACCTGCACACTTTCCCCTTCTTTGCAGATAAGGGGAGACTCCACCATACTGTAATCACATCCCAACTGCCAGACTTTGTCTATCAACTGGACATTGTTCCCACCAGGAGAAGTAATACTGTGAGCTCCTAGAGAGTCCTTTTTAGGAGGCTGTGGGGCTCTCTTGGAATGAAAGATGTTAAAAACAATGTCGCCCTTGCACACATCAAAATCCCATGTGATGACAGACGAGGCATCCACAATCTGAATGAGAACCTGAGATAGAAAAGCCATATTAGACAATAGCAATTTGCTCAGTAAAGACAAACTCCTACCAAAAAAGAAGACGAAGAACAGAGCTTTGTATTGAAACTAAGCCCAGCAACTATTAGAAAGGCAACACAAATTCTCTCCTGATGGAGTACATTTGTTTTAACATATGACTTCAAGAAGCTCTCAAGTAGCTTCTGAGAATATTGTTTGTCTTTGCTTAGAAGATATTTGAATGGGATGAAAACCAGACATGTTCTTTAAATGGCAAGATGACGATACAAGGAATGGTGACAAACTTCAGCTACTAAAGCATCATTATGCACCTTAACTATAGAACAAGGTAGAAGCTTGGCAACTAAATAATTAATTTTGAAACCATTTTCTGTCAAGAAAGAGTCCAGAGCAGAGGGTTGAGATGAAAGAAAAGGGTAGGCTGCAGCCATACCTCATGTGGAGCTCCTTTGAAGACACTTGCAGACTGGTAGATTGTTTCAGTCCAAAGCTTTATGTCTTCATTTTCCAACTCTTCTGCTGTCCGATAGAGGGACTTGGGAACCAGCCCACCCTCTGGCACTTCACACTGAAAGCATAAACAGCCGTTATAAAGTATCCCCTTTGTACATCCACACCCTGTCACACACTCTGCCTGCTAGCTTCAGAAGCCAAAACTCACCTTCAGCAAGTACTCTGAAGAGTGAGACACAAACAGAGTTTGAAAGTAATTCTATAGCTTGTATATCACACATACATAAACATATTTTACAATGAGCTGGTTTAGGTGAGTTTGCAGAATTAAGACACCAGGGGAACAGATCTTGTATATGCACAACAGCCACCACCATAGAAAATAACTGTGTCAATGCTATAGTTATCACTCATACTGCCCTACAGAGATGTGAGCCATTTAAGAATCCCAAGGAAAATGGCAACAGGGCCTCAGTCTGAAAACCGTAGCCTACACAGACCTGAACGAACTGGGATAGCTAAACTGAAGGATGGTAGGGAGATACAGTAAGTTTCCAAACAGGAAAAAGAATAATGCAGTCAGGGAAGGTAACAGTATTGAAGTGACAACTGTAACAGCTCAGTACTAGAACTGATTACACAACTTCCTAAGCAATCTTCTCTTTAAAATATCTCTACTAATGAAGTTAGACAACTATCTGATCAGAGATAGGTTTCATAGGAGTGTTTGATAACTGCATTACAACACAGAATTGGAGGAATCTCTAAGTCATTTTTATTCATATATCCAGAAGTCAAGAGAAAAGAAACTATCGTTTTCTGTGATGGACAACAAGTGTTGTAGCAATTTGCTGTCTGGTAACATTCACTTTTGCTTATTCAAGCAGTGGATTTTGCCAGCTTTTTGAGCTTCAAATTAGATAGCATAAATTCTCTCCACTGAAAGCTACTGCTGCAGCAGAAAACAGCCTACTCAAGATAAACACATGCTCTACTCTGCCACGTGTAACAGGCTTCCTTATAATTTGATACTGTATTTGAACAGACCTAGATGAATTTTCAAGAATGGTACAGAAATTAACCTAAAAAAAGTACACAGGGGCTTAAAAAGCAAGCCTGAAATTATAATTTAACACAGCTGAGTTCAGGAAAAAAGTCACTTAAGTGTTAAAAAAGTCACTTAAGTGTTACTGTGACACAGGCTCCATAAAATGCCCCAGCTGCACTCCTACATCTCAACCACAACAGTGAGCCTGTGTTGTCAAAAACATTACAGAGAAAAACCTTACAGTATCATTGAGATGTTAAAATGACAGATTCAATCGACACCCATAATGTAGGCAGGGAACAGCTACTAAAGCACATGACAAGGGACCTGAGAAACTACAGTATCTTGCAGTAAAGCAATGGTTTTAGTTTGCTGTGGGCTAGGAGTCCTGGCTGTTTGTTAAGCCCTGCTAGCAGGTGTGCCATGTATTTCCTTGGGCTCCTTATGGTATTGGTTAATTCTTTCAGGTGACACAGACTCTTCTGATGGTGACAGCTCTTGCGCAGTGTTGTGCTGCCACATCTGCTCAAACTTGTCAGGTAACAGACTGTGGCTTTTAACCTTGGCTATTTTGGTAAGTTATTTGATATCCACTGTGCATCCAGAAGAAAACAGCCTGGGAAATCATAGTCCCTGCCTCCAAACTATATTAGGAATCATCCTGTGCTTCAAGGCTTCTTTGTTTAAAGGAATGGAGGGGAAAAATAATAAAACCCCACAAATAAGTTGCTATATACATTAGTTTATATTCATACCATGCACTCTCCACCAAGAAAATCAGGGATGATTTCTTTATCGATGTAATCCAGCAGTCCCCCAGGACCCTGGTAGTCATTTCCAGCATAAATAAGGAATTTCTTTCTAGTGTTGTCATCAATGAACGGACTAACCTACAAACAAAGAAAACCAGATTAGATCAGGTACCCACATTTTTCTCAAATCAATTTTGAAGGGATCAGTTTGATTGTTACCATCCTCTTTAGTTCACACTACAATGAAGCTAAATTAACTGACTGCATAAGCAAGTTCTTAGGTAGTGTTTTTCAACCCACACCAGGAATCCTATAAAGAGAGATGTTTCCAACTGGTAACATTCCTGCTTAAAAAACTTGATCTCTAAAGAGCTCTTACAGACAAGTGTGTAGCAGTGTGCTGAGAGAGCTGAGGAATACCCTGAATTACAAACATACCAGTGTCCAAAGAACTGGGAATACTCGAGGTGCTCTCAGGATAAGAAGACGACCCAAAGTCTCGGGGTAATTAGCTTCGACCACCTCAATGATTCTTAGCAATGCTTTGACACCAGGTCTCCATAAATGCCGCATGTTCAAACCTTCCAGATCTACTAGACAGGTCCAAGAGCTGAATATGAGAAAGACAAAAGTGAAAAGAAAAACCTCAATAGCATCAAAATTCTCTTTTCTCGTGCAAGTGTCCAATGTACTGAAACGTGTGGATCCCACTGCGTGTTTTGGTTTCTTCTATTTTACCTCCTTGTTTTGTACTGCCTGTAGACACTGGAGTTTAAGGCCCTCCAAACAGAAATATCTTAAGAGCGTGCCAAGCATGGTTATAGAGTCTGTGCAATGATCACTTTGCACATCACATGTATTCCCCCAGAGACATTTCAGACTCCAGGTGAAGGTTAAAATAAAGCCAAAAAAGATACTGTCAAAGGCCACCCAAATGTTAAACCACTGCTTTTACTGGGAAATCAATTAAGTGGCCATGCTGCAATGAGGTAATTTACAGTGCAGATTTCCTACCAACATAGCACAGTTATAATGCCAATACATGTCAAAGCTAATTCTGATGTCAGGTCTCAGGGAGAGAACCTTTTTCTATAGGAAGAGGTATGTTCTTATACTAAATACTGAGCTTTAGCACATGCTTTAGTTACTTTCCAAGTTCAGGTCTTGCCCTAGGCATGGATCCAAGATTTACCTCTGTGCCGTACCAGCTAGCATCCATTAAATTATGGCTTCTATGAAATAGTAAACCCTTCTTTGTTTCAATTTTAAATGTTCGGTATGTAGTCCTTTACTATTACTTCTACAAATGGAGATCCAGTGAGCAGCACTTTTTCACACTTCCACACATAAAAGCCATCACTTGGATTTGACCTCCCACTGAGGTCAGCAAGTTCTTTAACAGGGACAAGATAAGCAGGCATACCACACATCCCTGAACCTTCACAGGGTAATGGAAGGACTCAGAAATTGAAAAGAATCCAAGAAACACTTTCTTTTCAGGGCCAGTCCTGCATTCATTCCACACCCTTAAAACCATTATGCAGTTAACACTTTTGTAAGTGAGCCCTACAATGACCTGAAGATGGGATAACAAGACATTTCTGACCGAGCTTCACATGAAGTTGTGCCAGGATTTGGAAAACTAGACCCCAGGTTGCACAAGGTGCCTCATGAGCTTACTTTGGATCAAGAGTTGAGCAACTGCATAGAAAAATGGAGAATGCAAACAAGAACTGAGTGCAGTGTTCATCCACAGTTCATGCTAAGGCTCAAATAACATGAAAACAATACTTTAAACTACTGGAAAGGTTATACATGATATCATAGCCTCAACTTTTTGGCACTCTGTACCAATGTCTGACTATAAAATCCCCTCAAAAGAGAAATGTGAGTTAGGCTGCATTGCTTTGCAGATGTACAATAGAAGAGAGCAGGAGCATTACACCCCTCATGTAGAACCCTTATGAGCATGATACCAAGACTGCTGGAGCAGATGTGCATTTCCCTCAGGCTTTGCCATGTAGACCTACTCTAGTGGTAACTGAGGAGGCTCTCAGTTAACTATAACTGTGCTTGTATCTGCCTGTGAGACACACAGCCCTCTCTTGTTCCACTTAATAACCTTTGCTCAGCAGCATCTCTTTGCCGCATGTTGCCTACACACCCCATGAAACCAGGTAATTCCCAAAGAGCAGATCCACTTGTATTTTACCTTATTGGCCTGCCAAATACTTTTGTGTTCTCCTCACATCGCCTCAGTCCTTCTTCATTTATTGAAAGAACCTGTACAGCAAGACATGTTGTTTAAAGAAGACAGTCTTAAACTCAGTAGATGGGATAAAGTAAAAAGAAAAGGTTTATATCCAAAGTGTAATTAAAACTACAAACTGAATCAGCATAAACTTTTATTCCTCCCAAAGAATGAACTAGAAATCACTACCTTTACCCCACTGGTTGATCTTGTTCAAAAATAAACATACTCTTCCAGAAAGACAGTAAAATATAAACAAGATCCTCCTCAAAACTGAGCCTCAGGAGTGATACAGACAAGAAGTCCCCCTGCCACTTTAAGCACTGATTTCTTATTTACTCAGAAATTAAAAGCCTCTTTTTAAGCTGCAGAAAAGAGTCTTGAAACAGAAGTAGGGCAAACAAACAAAATATAGTATATGCCTGGAAATGTCACTAGAAGAGAAAAAGTAAAATCCAACCCCAGTTTCTAGTGGTTATCATGGCCATGACTGTCGTTCTTAGGAGTCAACAACAACAAAAAAATCATTGCAAACCTGGAATTCTGCCATCTTTTGGTTTGGAAACTGAGCAGATCCACAATAACAGAGCCTTAGCCATGCCTTTAGAGAAGGCAAAATTACAGGCAAGTACTTTTTCTTTAAGAATAAATTATTCTTATCCTTGGAGCACAGGCTTGATAAAATCTGAACATGGCATTTTATATTCTGTACAAATGCAGGGATTGGAGCTTAGAGCACTGCACTACTGCAGAAGAATCTGTGAAAACGCTAACCAATAACTAAGGGAGCTGCCAAGAACTACGCCTTTCCGCCATCAGTTTGCAGTTGGAAAGAATGCAGAAGATCAGATACCAGGAGCTTTCAGATCTATTGAAACCAAAAACAGACGGCCAGAGAGTACATCAAAATATCCAGTGTGATGAATGTTCTGGCAAAGGAGGAAATTTCTAAATGAAAATATCACATTGTTAGCAACTTGTTGGCTCCAAAAATACTTACGTAGCGCAGCAAGGCCTCTTCCCCAAGAGCTCGCACTAAGCCTTTGGTATCCATCTGTCCCAATCTCAGCACATACAAGGGGCGACCATCTGAATAACAGGAACAAATGCATCAACGTAACCCTTACCACAGCAACAGACAATTTGAATGAGCTACTTTTATGCTATAAGACCAAAAGGAAATAAGCCATACTCCATTCAAACTTTGTAGGCCAGCTTGAAGAAGGAGAACCTGGAGCAGACGACAACACAAATTTTGCCCTGTCCAGCTACACCCAAAGACTGCCTGTAAATGAACTGCAAAAGTTTAATGGAGACATCTTGGTGCAAAAATAGCTCCCCTATCAGCAAGGCACTTTCGAAGGACTTCAACAAGTACACTAGTACATGCAAGATCTTGGTATACACAGTTAAAGACTATAATTAGCTTCCAGGACAGCCAAGATACAGAAAAAGCTTTAGTCCATTAGCGTAGGTGAAGACTTGCAACAAGCAGCAAGCCTTGAATCACGTATGATGTAATAGTGCTCTGGATAGCTTACAGCAACCTTTCAGGAAAAGTAGCTGCAGTGAGTTCTGGGAGCTAAGAAAATAGAGTGTTAACCAAGGGACTTGCTTTCTGCAGTATTTGCTGGAGTTGCACTTTGCAGCTATGTCATTACACATTATGCAGAACTGGCAAGAGCCTCACTTCTGCAGGTTAAGCCTGGTTCCAGGGATCAGCTTCAGATGGACCCTTTGCATTCAAAGCCTTGCCTCTTCACTTTTGCTGCATACTGGGCATCCCAATGCTGTCCAGGATACTAAGGCATTAAGCTTAATAACTGCATTGGCTGAATTTGAGAATCAAAGCTTGCATTCCTGGATCTTCATAATAGGAGCATGTTGTCTGAAACTGCTTCCAAGCTCCCAAAGCTGTGATGTGTTTTGTAAGGTTTGCTTCTTGTATTCTAGTACATAAGCTAAATAATCACCAGCTTACAGAACTGAATATGCTAGGACACAAAAATAAAATAATAAAAAAGAAGAGCTTTTATATATAAAAATATATATGTATTTTATATATAAAAACCTCCCTGAAGTCCTGTTTTCTGTTCAGCTTCACTTCAACAAATGCAAAGAGGAGTATCAAATTATCATTAAGTCCTTTGGAACACAAGGAAAGAAACTGTTAATATATAAAAAACCCCAAATAACCTAAACTGCAGAGTCCAGTCAAGTTGTTTTTTTGGCAAAGACACCCCCTCCATGAAAGTTCAGGGTATTTTGTATTTTATCAGGTCTAAAAGAAAATGTTATTTTAACATCAGCACATGATTATCTTGGAATGTGCTGTTTAGCTTTTGAAACACAAAACAAACAGTGCTATTAAGCTTTATAGCAGGTCTTCCTCCCTTCTCAGCATCCAAAGCCAAGCTAAGTGCTTACTAACCCTAGTCCACCCAAATGACACATGAAGGAAAGTCTCGCTGACAATGCTGTATTATCACTGTATATTTTATATTCCATTAGAGCTTTGTGATTTAAACCACCATTTGATTGAAGCATTCCTGTCAAAAGCCACTCAGATGCACAGAAAACTGTGCTAATTGCAAGCCAAAATAATAACTTTTATTCTTTTGTACTAATAGCTCATTCTAGACAACATGCTTCATAATCACTCCTGCCTTTGCTTTAACACTAAATGCTACAGAGAATTCAGCTAGCTGAAGTTTGGCACATTTAGCACATGTAGGAGGAGCAGAACATTACTAGAAAAGAGGATTTAAAAGAAGAACCTACCACTAAAATTTTAAATTACACAGAATTATGCAGTTTTGAATTCTCTTTCTGCTATTGACAGACCCATGCTTTACTTGTGGGCATGCTGCAGAAGAGATTAAAGGAACTGGAGGGGAAGGGAGGGGGCATGAAGCTAACCACAAAACTGAAGAACTTCTCAGGATGACATTAAACAACCCTTTCTATCTGCTTCCGGGCAGGACCCAGTTATGTGCTACTGGCAGAGAAGGTCTTTGCTAAGTAAGGACAAGGAACTGACAGAAAGGGAGAACTTGTTCACAGGTGTTTTTCCCTACAGTCTTTACAAGCATATTCCCATTTTCCCCCATTTGAGGTCTGTTAAACCCAAAGCAGCAAGGGAGAGCCATTCAAGCTCCTGGCCACTACTGCTGACAGCATCCTGTCCTGCTTCATACACTTCTTCTAACAGGAAGAGCCAGCAGAAAACAATGGTGCCGAGTGAGGAAAAGACTAAATCAGAACACAGATAGCACACAGTAAGAGATCATTTCCTTATCAAAAGAGCCCAGCTTGCTTCAAGCAACAAATTCCAATTCTGTGTATGTATTAGCAACAAGATCAGTGCACGATAAAGCAAGCCGAGGGATAGGGGAGCACGTCAGCCACAGTTATCCATGTTTTAAAGATCTGGCTGTAGCTCACCATACAAAGAGTATTCAGCCAAAGCTTCTTCCCTTCTTAAATAAACCTGCTCTGTTTGATGTTTTTGCAACATACCACTTTTCATCATTAAGCTGATTGTAATGCCATATAAGTATTCATTTATGCCATCAGCAGACTTACACAACATCAGAAATAAATTGATTAGAAAGATATACTTATTTACAAACATATTTTAATCACTGAAAAAGAATACTCAGCATTTGCATAATACACTTCTAAGCATCTCTGAGCACTACAGAAGTGCAGTTAACAACTTTTCTTAAGCTACTGGCAAAGCAGAGCTCTTTAGAGAGTTAAGTATGTCAAGCATTACTCAGAAAGATCAGGACCTAGGAGTCTGCCTCCACCAACTAGAGGAACTGACATCAATTTCAATGCAGTTAGTACATAACTTAGAAGTTCTAACCATCTTTCCAGCCACCTCTAGTTGACAGAGGGACAACTATCACCTTTAATTCAGAACGTAAGAAGGCTGTTCAATATTCACCCTACGTAGTGTACCTTTGTCATGGTGATGCCAGCCTCCTGCATAGTAATCCTGGAGTACTTGAGGAGGGTTCCAGGTATCTAGAATATAGTCTACCTGATGCTGCTTACGCCATGTCAGCGACTGGCAAAGGATCTCTCTTGCTTTATCAATGTTGAAGTCCCGGGCACGCAGGAATCTTAAAATGTGCTCATCCTTTGGGATCTAATGAAAAAGTACCAAACAAACAAATCCCAATTTTGTATTCAAGGTTTGAAACAAGCACAAAAAACCCCAAATGACAGATAATGAAAAACATGCAGCCCTGCACCAGTGCAAGGGGACAGTATGTAACACTGGAAATTACTTGAGCAAATCAGTCTTTGCAACAAAAACATGAGCCCTGTCAGATACTGCAGCTACCTTCATATAAAGGATATAAAAATGTCATGAACTCCAATGTAATCATTTACACCTGTGTGACCATACTGAGCCAGTCAATTTAAACAAATCCAGCAACAAAAGACAGACTGTATTTCGCTGTTAAGCAAAAGGAAGCTGAGCCATACATGCCAATCACAAGCCTCTGGAAAACCCCCAGCCTTTATCAGTGACTTAAATGGCCACATTGCTTCCCCTTACGTGCTGCAGTTTGGGACACAGATTTGAAAATATGACATTTGGCCAAAACAAACAAATGTAAAATACGGTTATTGTAGAACCAGGCAGAGTTATAAAACTGATGTTATCCTCCCTGTGCTGGTTTGCTGACATTCTGAGGCAGTCACACTAATTGTTTAAGCACCTCAACTGGCAACATCAGCTGACCAGTCACATCACAACAAACTTCTATTGCCACTGCACCAGGTTTTGGTCATGAAGTGCCATTTAACAGGAATGGTTAGTGACAGGAGGTGTGGGTATGATGTTTCATCATCATGTCATCCTTGCATACCACATATTGTAAGACAGCCACAGGAGACCAAGAGTAACTTACTTTGCCTTTGTGAGTCTCCTGGAGCCATTGCCTCAACCGAATGAGGCAGCTTTCCTGCATTGGGGTCAAGTCACCCAGATACCTCTTGATGTAGTCTGCATCTAGCTTGTCTAAAAGGAGATGCACATGTGATTAGAGCAGTCCTGAACTGACCAAGCCAAAGTAGTAAGTGACCTTGCTACTGTTATCTGAAGGAGAGAAGTGACTGCTCTGTGGTCCGCGCAGTCAGATTTGAATGAAATTTCTTTCAATCAAAAGATAAGCAAGGCAACTTACACAGTCATCTTAATGGTCAACCAAGATTAATTCTCCTTCTGCAACGAAGGGAAGGAGTAAAACCAGACATTTATAAAAGCATTTCGCCAGTACATTCATATTTGTCAATCTACAGCACCATAGGGCTTGCTTCTTCTGGAAATATTTAGAGAACCTTGGACCTGAATCTCCCAAGGCAAGAATTTTCCAAAATTCCCATATTAAGAAGATACAACAGAAGACTGTCCAGGAAACCTTCAGCACTTTTCTCCTCATTATTGCTATAGTAATGCCTATCCTGAATTTCAGGGCAAGCAGCAGGCCATTCATTTGAAGCTTAACGAACAGCAAAGTGATCATACCTGATCTTCCTTTATTAAAAGGATCAGCACATTACAGCTATTTAAGCTACTCCACACGTTACTGCTTTGCTAACCTGCACTTTAACATTGTACATTACCAAAGAGCCAATGCAAAGATTTTCAGCTGCCCATCAGAAGCAGCTCAGCATGGAGAGCCTCTAGAGAACAAAGAATCCCACCAAAATAAGTCAGATCACCATACCGTCAGGCGTTCCTGCTGTGGGCTCTGAGGGACTGCTTGAGGTGTTGAGGATCTCCTTATTGCTCAAGCCCTCCTTTGTGGCAGAGTCTGGTATATTAATAGCAGGTGAAACCGGTCGTCTTGGGTGAGATGTAATGCCCTCTGATTTACATGCAACAGGAGGAGTCCAACGAGGAACAAAAGTTATTCCTTCTTCCTCCAGCTGCTTCAGGTAGTATTCTATTATTTCTTTTCCCTTCAAAAAGGAAAATACACTTCAGCTACTAAAAACATCCATTTAGACACAGAACAGATTGGGCTGAAAATCCATGAAGTGGCCAGGCCTCTTCAAGATTATTCCACTTGAAAATACAGACCTATACACACATGCTGCTCCAGGCTAAATAAACAGCCCCGCTTGCTGAGCAGAGCAGCCTGTTACTTAGCAGTGGCTATGCTGTCTTTTGCTGAGTGGGAGCCAGGCACCTGCTTCGTGACTGCAAGCTCACCTTTTTAATATTGCTGGTGTATTGCTTCATGGCAATCTTTTCCACTGTGCTTTCAAAACCAAAGAAAGATTTTATATCCAGACTTGCTGACTGCTCAAAACAGGTCCAGTCTTCATTGTCAGGATGAACCTATTAGGTAAAAGGAAGTCATACAGCTTTCATTACTCATTTAGTATTTTTCCTCCCTCCCAGTATTTGAAATGACTATTTCTTGTTCTACCCATGGCTAGCACAGCACAATTTTTTCTTAACAAGAAAGGGGAGGGTGGAGAAATACCTGTGCATCAGCCAAGAGCCAAAGGACTAGCACATTTATACAACTAACACTATATAATTTCTACACACAGGCTGTGACTGTAGCATATATGTGGAGCAGTGAGCTTTCTGCTGCTGCAGGTTGGACTGATGACCAAGGCCAGATATCTTGAGGACTGCAGCAAGTAGTGTCAGCATTTCCAAGCACTGCAGCAACAGACACACTGCACTAGATAGTTTCCTTGATGTGCAAAGTACCTTCATATTTTGTAGACTGAAAACTTTTACTTTGTTCTCCTATGATAATGCAACAGAAAGAATGGCACTTCTCAGTTGATTGGCAGCTGAATAAGCTATCATCAAGCACTCCCAACTTTCTTCTTAGCTTATGTCTTACTTTGCTGAGAAATGATCCTGAAATAGAGATGCTACTACTTCCAGCTAGGCTCAGTCCTAAAGGTCTTTTCCAATGTGGATGATTCTGTGATTGATGATGATATGCTGAAGAAAAACTGTTTTCTAAACCCTCTGAGAAAAAAGACTTGTCCAAGGAATTTCCAGTCTGGGCTCTGAATTGGTAGTTACACAAATATCATGGAAGGCTGGATTTCTGAGCATGCAACTGTCCTGATGCCTTAAAGCTCCCCTCACCTTCAAAACATGCTAGAATTGACTGGGAATAGGATCCAATGCTTCATAACAGGACAATTATAGAAAACATTTCCCTTCATTTGCTTCTTCTGCATTAGAGAATGTGGGGTACTCAAATAGCTTGTACAGCCTAAATAAGTACAAATCATAGTAATAATATTTAAGAAGCTTCCTGTCCTTTCACAAATTCAATTACAAAATGACTTTAATAACAATCCATTTTTCAAACCAATTTATTCTTGAATTAAAATTCTGGTTTTGTATTTACCTACTAATTTACTGATCAAATAGAGCAATGGCAAGGAGATGTGTAATGATTTGTATGTATTTGCCACATGCACTTTTCTATACAGCGTTTCACCTGTTTAAACAGAGCTTTCACAGAAAAATTGCAGATGGAAAAGTAGTTTTAAATGTGCCTTGGAAATAATTGCAGAAATAATAATTAAAAAATTATCAGATGATAGTGTCAAGTGGGTTTGACATCCACTGGCCTTCTAACCATGATTCTCTCCACAGCAGAAAATGTTATCATCTGCACATAGAAAGAATGCTACAAACCAAATAAATCAGTTACATTTGCTAGCTTTGATTTGACCTTTAACATTGACTTGAAGTTTTACCACTATGTGTGTGCTGTGTGAGCCTATGAGTAGTAGCTAAGTCATTCCAAAAAGAACAGGACCAGAGTACAGCAGGAAGCATGCCACCAGACTGCTCCATCAGAAAACCTTTGTACTGAAGACCAAGAATGATGGAAAAAATGAGGTTAAACCAAAGCTGACTCAATGAACATTTGAGCTGAGCAGATGGCGAGTAAGTGACACTGAACTTTTCCTTTAACAGTTCTGTCAGGGTATCATCAGCCCCACACTGCTATTACAAACCTCAGATCTGCCTGAACAGAGCTGTCAAACACAGCAAGTTATGTTGCATTCTGCTCTCTGAGAAGATGCTCAAGCAAGAGGGTGCCAAACTTGCTTCAGTTCTTTAAGCGAGTGTGTTACATTTAACACTAGCAACAATTCTCACTTCTGCTGGTGTGTCGGTTATTTTTTCTTGCAAGGCAAAAACCAAGAACAACCAAATCTGTGTTGTCCTGAAATCTAAACGCTGCCCCATCTCCACCTGTAGCACCACCAAGAGCCTGTTACTCACTGTGTAAGAGCAGTGCTCATTAATGATGACTCTATTAGAGAAGGTTTCATTGTAGGCTTCTATATGTAAAGTCCTTTCTCGTCTGTTCAAAGAATTCTTCTGGATGAAGTAGACATAATCCACTCCTGCAATCTGAGGAAGATGATACAGAGTTTGTTAAGATACAAAACCCATGTGAAAGGATATCCAAAAGCATAAAACAGGTACTTCAGACTTACTCACCTTTTTCAATAGCCGTGGTGCATCTATATCCAGCTTACAGCGCCGTTCAATCACATGGATAGCTTCATCCTCACTCTTGTATTCGTTTACAGTGTCACTGGCTACAAACATAGGGATCAGAGGACATGTAGGAAACCTTCTTTCATATGCCTAGAGAGACGGAGAAAGAAGAAAAACTGTCAACACAATTCCTGAAGGCATACAGAGGGGTCCTTCACTAACATCACCAGCACTTGGAGTTACAATGCCCTTCATACATTTAGTAGAAGGGACTGAGCCATCTTGGAGTCCCCATGATAAAGTCACAGTAGCATTCCAAGCAATCCATTTATGAATATGCTCCTCACACAGACTTTTCCAGGTAAAGCAATTTTTAAAACACCCAAAGTGCCCCATTTCTCCCCTCCAAAAAGAAAATTGTTCACTGTACACAATGACAATCCCCAGATAAAACCCTCTAGTTCTAAAATACCACACGACAAAACAATTGTGTTGGATTAAAACACATGCTAATTATCAGTGTTTCACCAGGCTGTCTGAAGGGTTTTCCATACAGCTCCCAAAGGTCTAATCAGAACATTTCCAAACCTATTTCTTGAGCTAACAGAGCTCTCAAGCTCCCTGTGCACAGAGTATTCATAATGATTTCACTACACACTTTACTAAGCTTGCAATGCTGTCCCACAACATACAGTCTTTCCAATGCGATGAGGCCATTCCATACTTAAAATTTAAACTCTCTGCTATAATGCCAAGCTAGCAATAGCTTTGACTCTTGTTAAAGAATACAATCATGTAACTAAGTTAATCTCTAAAATACAAGAGAAAATGGTATTAAATCAGACACACTTGGAAAGGATAGTTAAGAATCTGGGATAAGTAAAACAGGTAAGAGGAAAATGGGAGTTATCCCCATTAGTAAACTCACTGAATTCTAGTTTTAGAACCACTATGCCTAAAGAACACAATGGAACTGCTATTTTTTCCCTTTTCTTTTGTAGTCACTAATGTACTTCCACTTCTCTTTGGCTTTTTTTTCTCATGGGGTAGCAGCAAAGGAACTAATTCTTCAGCCTTCTTCCCACATTCTGAAGTTTTTCATTTTTGCTATTATCAGAACCTAGCTGGCTTTGGAGGTAAGGCAGGATTTGCAACGTGGGCCTGTGCAGAAGAAAACATCAGTAACATAAATCTGCAAGCAGAACATGAAACAATCCTCTAAAAGAGCTAAAACATCCACTCTGGCCTTTTAGATGATTTTAGCTGCTCTGAATACAGCTGGGTTGCAGCACAGGAACAGCACCAACAGGGAGAGGGTGTGGAAGAAAACAAGCAGCTGCAGAAAGTATGCACTGGTGGCACTAGAAGAGAAAAGGTCTCTTGATTCTGCCTTTATATGACTTAAAATTCTTTGTTTGTTACCAGTATAAAACAGAGTTGGAACGCAGTGTTACTATGGGGACATTGGTGCAAAGCACTCCAACAGGGCCAGCTTTTTTCCCCCCTCGTACATAGCTGTAAAAAGCATTTCTGCAGCATGATTGTCCTGAGTTCATAAAGCTCCTCTGTACCATACTAGAAGTACAACCCGTGAGTGAGTGAGCACACATGCTTCTTTTGTCAGGCTTTGTATCTGTGCACAGCTGGTTTTGGTTAAATTATGGATAGAAATAATTCTTAGGGTCAGAGATGTGTGTGCACAATAGAAGTGACAGAGCGTTAGTGTCGGAACACAATAGCAAGCACTGGGGAAAATCCTTCCACAGCTCCAAGAGAGAGGGAGGATGGGTCCTATTAATAGGGTATAAGAAGTTTCTTACTCCTTTTATGATGTTCTTGTTCTGGACAGAAGGATGGACATTTTACAGTTAAGAACAGCTCAGCCCTCTCCCTGAGTAAGTGCCAGCATTCTTTCTAAACTTAATCCCTATTTTAACTATATTGACTGTAGTTAAATATTGTACTAAGTCAGAAAGAAAAGATTTCCAGCAGAATTGAGAGATAATTCTGGTTTAAGACTGCTTCACTGAATACTTCTGTTCAATTTGAGGACTCTCTGTTACCTCAATTATTTTATAGACAAGACAGAAGGTGAAGTAGATAACATTTTTCTCACTATTTTCAAAGTCTCTTTACTTTTGGATCATGATAAATCTTCCCCATCTGAGTAGTCTCCTCAATGCCAAGCCTTTGCAGATCTCCTTCATTGCACATATTGATGCATTTCTCATTTTGGCTCTCAAAATGTTTCCCATTTGTCCTGTGAACACTTGCACAATACATTACCTGCTCTTAAGTGTTTACTGAACTGTGAGAAAAAAAATAATGCCTAAGAAGAATGTGTTCTGAATGGGAAGCCTGAATGCTATGTGGCTATATTTGGAAGAGAACAAAATAATTATCTGCCAAAAGTTGGCAAGCTCCACATTTACAGCAACAAAACACTTCACAGTTTCAAAGAGATTAACGGTGACACAGGATTCTTTCTCCCTAAAGAACATGCACTCAGAGGACTGAAAACTATTCACAGTCAATTTTACTGGGCTCTTAAATTAGGCTGGGTTTATTTCTTCATGTACCATTGCCAAAATGTTTTTGTAACGCATCATTTCACAGCACAGCCTCGTTTGAAGAAAAAGTGATCATAGTAAACTGCAGCCACATAAAAATACTCGGTCTGATTTAAGCACAGCTTTCTCTTCCACCTGTGGCAAATGGTTCTCTCACACTGCAGAGAAGGCAGTAGGAAACTACAGGACACTGAAAGGTCTCACTTCACTACAGACCAGCACAGCCCAGGCAGAACACCTGTCATTTGTGGTATGACACAGTAGACACATGCGTCAAAGGAGCACATGCATCGTCAAGACTGGAGCTATTAAAGAGCACGAGAAGATTAAAGAAAGATCAAATGCTGCTTTTCTTTTGCTAATAATAGAATTTAATGGATTTTGCTGCATTATTGAGGTGTTTTGGACCAGAAATTGTTACAAGTCCAGCTCTGCAGACAGGAAGAGCTGCATTATCCATTATTCCTTTAGCAGTCTGATACAGCAGAGCACATTATAAAATGCTACACATTTTCCTCCATGTATCATAGAGGTTCTCTACAAATAAAAATCATTAGACATTACACATCTTTGTCTCAGGATTTCAATTTTACTGTATAGATACAGAAGACATACAGAAGTTCTCAAGAGTAAAGCAGCTGTAATAATCCTGATGGATTCATAGCAAGAGTGAAGCACCGCCGCTGTAGCACTAAATGCATCCAAGGATGATGCTGCAAGGACATTACTTAATTTTGCCATTTTCTTCCGGTAAAATCTCCATACAGTGTGCAGAGATTGCTTTGTAACATGTAAAAATACAGGCATGCTCATCCTCAAAACCTCTCCAGCTGGTGCAGGGCTTGACATGAAAACCCTAATGATCTTGTGGTGGTACAGACCTTTCAAAATAGGGATTTTAAGCCTGCAATTCTGTTGTTCCCTAATAGTGTACTTGCACAATTTCCCACCAGCCTTTGGGACACTTGTGTACTCTGGTACATGAGAAGCTGGCATTGCACATCACCAAAAACACAGTCTGGTGAAGTAGCTCGAACTTCAAATTTAATGGGCTCATTATATACACCCTTCACTTTCTTCATGTGTGCTAACAGTGAGAACACTGACAAACATAAGTTCAACCAAGATAGCCTTGTATTAAAGCTTCTTTCCCAACTGCTTCCCTTAGCAACTCATGTTCAGCATCGAGTCAAAATAACAGGATTTATTTGACTTTTACCTTTGCTAGTATTGCAGCTGTGTTTAAAGACATGAAAGCAATTCAAAAGTAAGGCTATTTTAAACCCATTGCAGTAATTCCTCATACTTAAGGGAATTCTATTTGCTGCCGTTGCCCTTACATTTTGGGATTCTAATATCAGCAATAACAGAATCCTTCCAAAATACCACCTTTAGAAGAGCACTGAGGTTATGATCCCAACCCAATTTTCAGGAGGACCAAAGAGACTGTTCTGGCTTTTTCCTTCTCAACCTGTGCCTAGGGCTAATAAAATACCTTAATAACAGGCATGTGCTCAGCCCTCGGTGGGGAAAGTCAGTCATTTATGCAAATAAGTTACTCAGCTTCTCTGGCTGGATTAATATATTCCCAGTCTGCTGCCTTAAAGGGTAGGGATTGTTCAGTATTTCCATTAGATGACTCAAACCTAACTTCTGTACTTAAAAGAAGAAAAAAGATGTGACAGAACTTGCAGGCAATCTTCCACTGTGCTGTTCTGCTTCCAAGCAGAACTTCTAACCTGGTGAAATAAGTAGGAATTTCAATCACCATCTAGAAAATGAAGTACATTGAGTGCTTTCTTAATAGCTTAATGGCATGAAACAAGGCATTAAAACATTCCGTTTCTTTTTGATGTTCAAAATTGCTGGGACAGCAGCCTTTTAAGAGCAGCACAACATTCTCCACAGACACCTCAAAAGAGCACATGAAGAGATTCATTCTGGCAATCAAATCTAGTCTGCTGCACCTTGTGTGTGCCATATAAAGCCTTTAATGACTGCCTGCAATACATGACCATGTCCGAGTCCTAATCTGCAAGTGCATACCAGCATTCACCATCCTTTCCTGTCCACTTTGAGAGTGTGGAAATTCTGAAGTATCCCTAAACACACAAGAAACAAGGAGGGTCACTAGAGCAGGATGCTGCCTTGGCTTGACAGGCTGCATTCCAGCATTTTGATCATTCCTACTTATCACCATATCCCCTTCCTTCCCCTGCATTAGAACACTGTGGATCAATAGGAAAAACTCATGGGAGGCCAAGCCAGAGGTTTCAAATTCTTGGCAGCTGCATTTGGAAAGGCGCAATTTTGGATTATATCTCACAAAGCAGCAAGTACCTCCTCACCTCCCATATACTGCTGTTCACAGCTCTTTCCCATTTCATACATACATTTAAAAATCATTATACTTCCACAAAGAAGTGTGTACCTCAGTGTCAGTGTATCTCATGGGTGTTAGTGCATGTGTTGGTATGAGCCAACAGTTGGTATCAGGTGTGTGTGTGGAAGAAAGCAGATAATTAAAGCGGATATACCTCAAAAAGCTCTAGAAACAAGATTTTTTGCAAGGTAGCATTC